AGCTTGACTTTAGCCTGTGGACTGGTCCTCTGGAGCATTTTCTGCCGAGGGCATCAGAGAACATGGTAACTAGTGGGTGACTACTTTGCTCCTTCTTGATTTCTTTACTCGCAAGAATCCAAGCCAAAGGAGCTCCAAGCCAGAGGAGTCTCATAAAAAGACAAAGCAAACAAAAACAAACAAAATAAATAAAAACACTGCAGAGAGAAGAGGTTGGAAAGGCTTGTGCAGTCTGACCTGTTTTAGTCAATCTCATAATTTTCACAGGTGATTTTAGACTGGGATGAAGGTCCCTGTAGCTACACTCATTCTAAAGAACTGTATTTTAAAGTCTGTTTCAAATCTATGCAGCTTTTTGTATTTCAGAAGCCTGAATGAAGGAAAAGTAGTTTGCTGCACTAGAAAATAAATCTTTCAGTGTTTGCAAGCTAAACTATTGTTTAGCTTACGGAGTTCATAAATAACATGCAATCAGTCTTCTGTGAGGAATACTGGCCTTATCTGATTAAAAAGAGGCTTTAATTGGAATAGATAGTTATTATTGACAGGAGAACTTTCACATTAAGTTCATGTGTTCCAAGCAGACAAGCTCATATGTTCACTGTGGAGATAACTTTGTAAAGTTAAAAGAACATGGACACAGTTCTGCTGCAGATACCCTGCTTGGACTGCTAAATAGCTATTTAAGACATTGCATTTGGGGTTGCAGGGAGGCCACGTGTTATTCAAACCTCCTGAGTGCCTAGCTTTGCAGGTGCGCAAATTCTCATCTTGAATCAATATTCATCAACATTCAGGATGAGAATTAGCACATACATAAAGCCAGACTGCACTTTGGGGGCTTTACAGTGATAGATCACAAATAAAAAGACTCAGGAAAGATCAGAAGTGGTGCGACTTGTAAATACAAAGAACCCAGCAGAGTCCAAGAAAAAAGGATGAAGCACAGGGTAAATACACTTAGCAGTCTTGATCGCAGTGTCTACCAAAGACTGGAGTTTTACCTACCTACTCTGAATGTCCTCCAGGTGTTCAGAGAGACCTGGTTTATTGGTGGCTTCAATTACATTTGGCGTTTTCTGTACTTCATAGGCAAGTTCTTTAAAATGGACATCAATCCCTTCAAAGCATTTAGAGTCCTACAAACACCAGCACAGAGAATAAACTCACAGCAAAGCACTCCATTTCCTGCTAGATCATCCCACTGCCTGGCTTTGGGGTGAGGATGGAGATTCTCCGTAGTGACCTCCTGCCTCGGGTCCCTCCAGTGTTTCAGAGGGCTCTTCTGCTGTGTGGCTGGAGCAAGTATCCAGATAGGCACTCGCCTCCTTGTCACTGTATCCCAAAGGGATCGTGGATAAAACATGCAGAAGCCAAACCCTAGGACCAACCTATTTTGTGGGGCTGGATTCCCCTTTGAACGTTTCCTTGTTATTCTTCCTCTCCCATCTCTAGAGGAAATGCCAAGTTTTCCAGCTCACAGCAGCAGCAGATATTCCTTTACAGGGGCAAGATGCCTGACTCCATACAAATTTGTTTTTCCATTCGTACTTCAGCATAGGAGCCCCCAGTCTCTATCCTTGAAAAGAGCATGACCACTCTAGGAGAGAGAAGCCCTTCCTTGCTTTGAGTAAGAGCTGGGAAATCGCCCATGGCCAGCAGAATAGCACTGACATGAATGCGAGCCAGCTAAGGGGGCCTGAGAATTTCTAGAGCGAATCACTGAAGAATAAATAAAACCATGCTCAAAACACGGCTGGCCTTCCCTTCTTCCAGCATTAGGTCTCCTGAGCCAGGATGCTGAATAAAAGTGCTCCAAGACTTTTAAAATAACTATCCCACTTTCACCTGAGTTCAGCTCTGGCAGCGAGGCTTGGGCTAGAGACTGGAGTCCCCCTGCGCACAGGGAATGTTGTGGCCACCAGACACATCCCATGCTCTGCTGGCACATGTCCCCATGCCCCAGGTGCATCCCAGAGGGGTTCAGTCTCCAGAGGCTTTGAGATTCATCCTGAAAAGAAGCTGCTGCTCCGTGTCACTTGCCAGGCTGGTATTGAGATGCAGACAGCTGCCTGGTAGGATGCAGATTTAAATCATGAAGTGATTTCACACATGCCATCAGAGAGCTGTTGGATATTAACAGCTTGCTGGCACACGGCATAGTCTTCAGGGCACTGGCGATCTGGGCTGGTTATTAGGACCTATTTATATTGCCCAGTAATTGAGGCATGCTGAGCATTTGCCAAAGCAGCAGAAGGAACAGTCCTAGCCCCGAAGCAGGACAGAGGGATGGAGACAGCATCCTCTGTAGCCAGGATGTCACTGTGCTGTGCACACCGGTGTCCCTGGTCCCGTCCCCATCGTGGAGGCCAGGCCCTGCTCAATCTATGAGGCAGATCCGTCAGGGGTGGCGAGTGGCCACGGAATCAGCCTGGAGGATTTTTGTAGTAATTAAGGGAATCTGAAGTGGAGTTGGAAGCTGGACTCCTGAAAGAGGTCACCAATAACAGTGCTGTGCTGGACTCCAAGGCGTTAGCGGGAGAACAGCTGCTCTCCCGCTGCACCAGCGCTAAAGGCAGGAAAAGCCAGAGCTGCCTCCCTCGGCTTTGTGCTGATGACTTGCAATGTCTGCGCAATTATCCCTGGTCCCCGGTCCCTGAGGAAATCGGGAATCTGCCTCCAGCACTGAACCAAGCTAACAGCCTTGCACTCTTGTGCAGCTGCCAGTAACCCTGTATTTGCCAGGCAGGAAGGAAAGGGAGAAAAATCAGACTCTCAGTGTGGCTCAAGCACAACCTACAGGACAGAAACATCCTGGGATGGTGCTGGGAAAACTACTGTTGCACTAAAGGAGCCTCCAGAGAAAGGGAGACAGCTGGAAAGACATGGCATTTTGGGGAGCAGGGCATTACAGGTAATCTCTGTAAGGGAGGCCCCTTACAAGCAGGGAAAACGGGTTTTCCTACCTCAGGAAGCTGCATCCGTATGTCTTCCGAGCCTATGAATATGCTTTCCAAGTGAGACCACGTACGTTGCACCTCAAACCAGAGCGAAATGACAGAGTCTGCAGTGGAGAGCTTCTTTTGCCATGCAGACACTTCCTCCAAAAAGAAAGCAATATACTTGGATGTCATTAAATTCTGCAGCTGCACCTGGTTGTCTTCTAAAGTTTCAATGAGTTCCTCATCTGATTTCAGTAATGGAATGTTTGTGCGAGGATGAGGCTCATACTGAAAGTCCATGCTGCTCCAGGTTGTTTTTAGCTCTTTCAGGACTTTCTCCATGCTCATTTCTTTCACTGCTTTGTCCACAATTCCGTGAACCTCATCCTCAAAGTTATGCAGCTCGAGCTTCAGGAGGTCGGCCAGCGTGGTGTCCGAGTCCATCACAAACTTTACACCCGTTGTCTGCATCAGTTGATTCCAGTGTCTTTCTCTAATGGCAGGATTTTGAAGTTCTGCCACTGCCCTCAGAGCTGTCAGCATGTTCTTTACCTTGCTGTCCAGCCCTGTAAAGGCATCCCATGCCCTCATTTCTTTATCTAAATTTCGAATCTCTCTTGCAAACTTTTTACACTCAAGATCCATGTTTTCTACATTAATATCCACCCATTTAGTGTTCTGCCAGTCACCAAGGCTAGAATTTACAATGGAAATCATATCCCAGAGCTCCTTCAGAAGACACATTTCCTTTCTGCACTGCTTCAGCTGCTTGTAGTCTGGAACCATGACTTCAAACAGACTAGCTGATTCATAAATCGAGGTCATGGCTGACTCCATTTGTTTAACCTCAATGTGCTTTGCATCCAGCAGTTGATAAGGCTTTCCAGTGTCAAACCTAGAGAGAAATGTTTATTCTTCATAAACGATACTGTAACAGTATCTAAAGAAAACATAAAAACACATAGATGAAACATCAATAGTACACACTGATGGTACTTTCATGGGGCACTCCTGTCATCACCTTAAAGTGATATTGCACACTCAGCATCCAAATTCAATCCCTTGCTAGCTCTGGACAGTATTCCTGCGGCATCACATACCAGATTTAACAGATGCAACACTGGCAGAAGGTAGGAATTGTACAGAAGCACAACAGCATGTGTCCTTAGAACACCTAGAGCTGACCCTTTTTTTCCTCCAGGCTACTGTGACTTTTAATTTGCCCATACCTGAATGGTGCTTCTTTCCGAAATCGCTCTCTGAATTTATGCTGTTGGACATCAAACGCTGCACAGCTCTTCCGAAGTACTGTCATTTCATTTGCCTGCAAAGGAGCCACATGCTGTTTCACAGCTATTGCCAGCTTCTTTATGTTGTTCCATTTTTCTGGCAGCTCCTGCAAGAAAATTATAAATGCTGGTAGACAGCTTTTTCTACTTGATATAATACATATCTGATCTGTTTATGGGTAATCAAAATAAAGAAAAAGCAACAGATTCCATGTTTAAATTTGTAAGGAGGTTTTTGTCATGACATGAAGGCCAAACACAATATTTAGGCTAAGATAATTCACAGTTTTGAAGATGAAGACACTGATACTTTCTAAGTATGTGCTGTGATTGTGAAAGTGTGTTCTGATCCACTGGATTCACTGTCCCCCTGGAAGAGACTGAAGATGTGAGAAGAGACTGCATAAACCAACTCATTGCATCAACCAACCTCCCTAAGGTAATGAAGAAACAGCCTGGGATACTTCCTGACAGCTCTTACAGTAAAAGATGTTATATCAGAACCATGTCTGGAGAGATCTCCAGGGCAAATCCCTCCAACATGTGTATTTAATATTGCTGTTAAATAAAATGGGCTTAATTTTCAGGTCTGCATCCAATCTGCAAGTGTTCAGCACCTCGAGTAATGTTTACTGCATATGTCATTTTCTTTAGAAAGGCATTTTATTTCTTTTCAGTGAGTTCTTGGGTCATAATGTCATCTCACACACACACACACACACACACACACACACACACTGACACCAGCTGAGGACTCTGCTGTCCTTGGACCCTGGGTGCTTTCCTCTTGAAAAGCCCTTTTCCTCAAGCAATTTCCAAATCTACTGTAAACCCTCAAGTTCATTCTCATTCCATTTTCAGTGAGTCAGGAGAGACACAGAGCCACCGGCACTGTCCGAAGAGGAAGAACAACCTGGAGGCAATTCTGAAGAGGGGGAGATGGCCAGAGAGGGGTCAGTCCCTTCTGCGGGAACTCTTTGTGGCACTTTGCATTTCAACATCAACAGGAACCATAATCCAACGATCCATATGAGTTATCACAGGGTTCACATGAAGTCACTTCCCTGTCCTCATCCAGACCTCCAGCTTCTGCATGTCCATCGTTGTGGCCATGATGGAGCCATGTGGGAGGGAGCAGGGCTTAGGGGAACTTTTTCTGTTTTCACCACAATATGCAGGAGTGAATCAATCATTCAGCTACTGATATAGCTGATGCTTGCCAGAAAGGACAAAACTTCCTGTTATTTACTGTATCTGAAAGGCTTACCTGCATCTCTCATCTCTTTTATCAGAAAATAAATCAGTTGTTTGAATGTACTAGCACAAACAGACACCAGATAAGTAGCTCTCAGGCAGACAAATTAGCAAAATTGGGTTTCCTACAGCACTCTCTCTTATGGATGGACTGTTCCAGCAGTCAGGATATCCATATGCTCTTCTTCCCTCATCGATTCCCCTTCTCCCCAGCACAAGTCATATAATGAGGCTGTCTTGGTTTTCAGGGAGTCTGCAGGAGTGTAAGTATCTTTAGGACACTTCTTCAGATTTGGTGATCCAACCACACACAGATCATGACTGCCTAACTAGGAAAGTAGGGGACTGCTAACCCCACACAGGTCCCATCCACCCATGCAGCTGAAGCCTTTGCTGCACACGTGAAATAGGCAGGAACATCTCCCATGAAGCTTTAAACCACCTTGTGTCCTGCACAGATCCCTTTGCCCACAGCACCTAATACCTATAGGGTATTCCCCAGCATGCAGACACTTCTCCACTGTAACATCACCTGGGTGATATTACTTGGGAAAGCACGTAGGGGTTTGTCTGCTTCTCACCCATGCAGGCTCAGCACCTCACATGCTTTTCCAACCTTCATCCTATGGACCCTCTCCCAGAAGCAAAAGGAGTTTCATAAAGGAAACTGATTCATCAGATTCAGACGTGGAAAGATGCCAAAATACTTTAATAACCTGCTCCCTATGATGTCCTCTGGGTCAAGCAGGTTTGATGTCACAGATCCGTGTCACAGATCACAGGGAGGACTGAGGTCCTATAATGTTGTCAATGGAGGAGCGTCCTAATCTTCCCCATCTCCACAGTTGCCAAGAACTGGCTTATTTAAAAATAATTATAATTCAAGCTAATTAACAGATGTATTTGAAAATGCATTAATTTTTTCAAGAATAACCGCTGGGAGTTGGAGCAGGCAACTCTGTTTTTCATACATAACAAAAGGCTTAATCTCTGCTTTACAAGAAAATCCCAGTATAACTCCAAAATTTAGAGCTATTAAGACACATCCCACAATACCAAAATACTATTCACTGAGGCCCTCTAATGACTGGGAAAGAGGTCCTAAAAATTCTTGCTATTCGTTAAGCTTGCATTCTCTTTGACAGCTACTACTTGGAGAGTAGTAACAGCACAGATTTCCACCCACCTCTAGTTGCTTATGGACTTCCTCTGGCAGCTGTTGCTCATATATCTTCAGTAGTTCAATGGTTTGCTTTAGGGGCTCAAACATCTCATCAGTGGCACTGTGCCTTTCTTTAACAGCCATCAGGTGACCCATGATCTCCACCAAACCATCATAATCTCCTTTTTCAACCTTTTTGCTCAAGCCTTTATCAGCAATTTTTATGAACTCTTCAAGGTCAGCCAAGCTATACAACACAAAGCAGGAAAATTTACAGTGAGAGCTGTTCGTATTTAAACATGTTATCAGTCTTTCTCCAGGCAGCTGGACTGACATGGACAAGAGGCAAGGAAAAGGCCTGGCTAACCCTGACCACTGCATGGTAGCAGGCTGCAGATTATAAAAACGTACAGAGGTTCTCAATAGCAACTGGAAATTCATGGGAGGGGGAAAAAAAAAAAAAAAAGAGGGAGGGGAGAATGTTAAATACAAAGGTATGACCCCAGCTCTCAAAGTTTTTGAGCTACACGTATCTCAAGGGAAAAAGGTTTCTTTACCTGATTGCCCTGTTCTTAAAATCACCTGCTATTGGGCAATGTCCAAAACAGAGGTGCTGGGCTAGTGGATCTTCAATCTTTTCCAGCAAAGCCATTATTCTGGTAATAATTTTTTTTTTTAAGCACCTGCTTAAATTCTGTGGATGTTGCTGGGGCAAAATATATCCTTAAATTTTTTACCTAATACAGGCTAGACTGTTGAGTCAGGGACTCTTAATATGAACATTTAAGTGCCTATTTTTAAAGCTATATAAAAAACACCCTTCACACAGAAATTATCTATCAGAATGATAGCCTTGAAAACCACACACAACAGTCTTTGTCATAACAACAACTGCCTGCAATTATATCTTTGCAAGCGTCCAAAACCTGCAACATCTTTCAGTCACAACTGCTCAAATAAATCACCTGATGCATAACCCCACACCAAGCAAGCAACTGAGCAGCTAATCAGATCATGGAACAAATGTTAACTCAAAACTGTTTTTTTTCCTAAATCCATCCTTTCTGTAACCTTGAAACTACCTTCCCATGATTGCTCAAATAACAAGCCTGAATCACATTTTTACAGAGTGCACTCAAAGAGCAACACATTTAGAAATACAGCAAGTATCTCAGTATTAATGAAGCTTTACTGATGGTCATATCAAGTTCAACAAAAAATGCATAAGTAGTACAGATTAGATTAGCTAAATCAGGATGAACAGACCATCAATGTCTCGTCTAAAACCAGGTCTCAAGAAGAGCTGTTTGTGGGATGTTAAAGGTACCAATGCTGCAAAACTCTTGGTTTTACCCACTCAACCCCAGCAGTTCCCAGTAGAAAACAGGATGTGATGGGTTGGCATGGAGTCTGCATCCCTGTCCTTTGCTCCTATTTTGCTGCATTGGTGATCAGTTTTTCAATAAAGCCTAGACAATAAAAAAAAAAAAACACCCCTTTGCACAGTGCAGGGGGATGAGGCAGGAACAGCTCTTACCTGTGTGTGACGTGGTCAATGAGATGCTGTTTAAACATCAGGCTCCACCTTTTAATTACATTCAGCAAAGATGCCTTAAAAGGCCGAGCATCAACTTTCATCCAGCTGTGGAACACACTGATGGGCTCGATGCGATTCACCTCCTCGTAGATCTTCTCATAGGAGTCGATCTGTTCCCTGAACTGCTGCAGGGTGGGAGGAGTCTCCAGGACTCCATCCTCTGTGTGGGCCTCGAGTTCTGCAGCCGTGAGGACATGGCCGTATAGGAGGAACTGGCGAATGAACTCTTTCCTGTCATCCCCATAGAGGTAGGAGTAGTGGTCAAAGGAATTGCGGTAGTCACAACAGGCCACCATCACGTTCTTCACGCGCTCCATCAGGTCATGACGCATGTCAGCTAGATCAGCCATGTCCTCCATGTCGGCCTAGGAGAGGACAGGAAAGCATGGCAAGTTGAAAGCCACACAGATATCTCTGCAACTCACTGCACAAGGGAGCTCCACAGCAAGAGAGACCTGATAGTGAGGGAAACCGCTGTGCTCAGCCAGCCTGGGCATCAGTGAGGAGACCCGATAAATGTCATTGAGAAGACTTTCCATCATGTCGTAGAAGCCATCGTTTGTGACAGGGTCCAGGGAGGGATGAAATATCAAATCTGGAATCACCAAATCCAGTTGCACTTCAAACAGGGGAGCAAGTCCAGCCTTGGGATCTGGTATGGAAGAATAGAGATGTTGGAACCTTTTTCAAAGGGAAAAGCAGTATCTTGACCCATAAGCAACAGCCCACTACAAGAGATACATATTCTACTTCACAGGAACTTCACAGGAACTGTAGACATTGGGAAGGACCAAAAGGTGGATCTGATAACAGACATCCGCTCACTGGTTCTAGTGACATTATTCCTGCACACGATATGAAGGAGATACTGGCAAACTAGCAGCTGTTTTGGTACCCGCAAGAGATACTGGAGAACAGATGAGAAAAAAATGATTCAAGGACTGAAAAGGCAGCTTTGGAGCGAAGCCTTAAAGAGATCAAGCTCTTTAGCTAATCAAAAAGGAGCCTGAGAGCTGAACAATTACACTGTATAAGTACTTGCAAAAAAGAAAAATACCAGGAACCAAGAGGCTCTTTAGTTTAGAGAAGAAAGGCATGAAAAAAAACACAGCAACTGGAAGCCAAAGCCATATTCAAATGGAAAATTATGTTCCTGTTTTTGACAAGGGAGGGTGAAATGCTGAATTCTCTAGCAATATGTGACTGCACAGCCAAGTGGGAAGCATTCCTGGAGATCAGCCGAACACAAACTGCTCTTAGTAGAATGAGTGGAACTCCATAGCAGCCTTAGGCAGGAGGTCTGATTGAGTAACTTATGGACCTATCACCTCATACTTCATCCTTGGTGTAGGTAAAGGGGACTAAGCCTTAGGAATTGGTTTTTTTTTCTTTCATGTCTTTAATCATCAGAACTCGCTCTTGACACTCTGCACAGAAGGAAAGATGGGGTTGACCTGATACTTTGTGCATGGGAGGACAGGAGATGGATGATACCCAAGCTGTAACACAGACCTGGGATGATGCCTCAATTTAGTCTGTCCATCAGTCCCTGCAAATGGTGCATAGTCCTTTTCTCCTGAGCAATGCTTTGCTCCAGTGATCAGGGGTGGGATCACCCTTTCTATCTGAAGGCTCTCCCAACACACGCTGCAGACTATAAAAAGCACAGAAGCAATAGAGCATCTCCTAGGCATGAGGGCGAGCACAAAACAGAAGTCAGCAATGGTCAGAAGTCAGACACAAAAATCATCTCTCACTTACCCCTCAGGCAGAAATTGTTGACCTAAACCCCAGATTCTTATTGTGCTGGCAGCAAAGAAAAGCATGAAACCTCCCTTAGGTGAGAGCAAGGCAATCGCCCTGACCAGCGGAGAGGAACCCACATTCACCTGTATTTTCCAGGAGATACTTGAGTGAGCTCTCAATGGCAGTAAAGAATCCATCCAGGACTATTTCATCCACATAATCCACATAGGCCTTCCAGATGTCAGATGCAGCATCTGCAGTAAAGAGGCTCTGATTTTCCTAGAAGTAAAAGAAGACAGCTTCAACTACAGCAGAACTGAGTCTGCCCGACAAGAGAGGGGCTCACAGCTAGGAACAGGTATCAGCAAGCGCACAGGCTTCCAGGTGGATGCCAGCACTTCACCATGCCAGGGAGGAGGTCAACCTTCCTGCCATGACCCCAAGCACACGTCCTCAGTCAGATTGGAAGATGCCCTGGACCTCAGGTAGTACCTAGAGGCAGCTGAGCCTGTCATTGCTGTAGCAGGAAAGCAAGGTAGTGCTTTGAAGCAAAGGCAGTGACAAATCAACACTGTTGGACTTGGAACATGGTCACCATGGCCAAAAGCTTCTTGGGAAGCACCACACCCACCGAGGAAGAGGGTTAGCCAGCCATGGTCCTTGGTGATTGTATTACACCTCATACTTCCTCTCTGCTACCAATGCCTTGAATGTGATTTTTTTTTAATTATTTTGAACAGCCTGGTGAATGGTGCTCAAGTTGCATAAAAAACCTTAGAATCAGGCCTGGGAGAAAGCTGAGGACACAGACCCTGCAAAATCCTTGCCACAAGTTTGATGTGCCAAGAAAGACACTTACAGGCTTCAGGTTGACTGCTCAGCTAGGCAAGCTGAGCAGCAAGAGCAGGGTGTCACAGGAAGGATTGACATCCTCTTAAGAAAAAAGAAGTCCAGGCAGCCACCATTTGAAGAGAACTGGATCTAAAACCCATCTCCCTCCAGACCCATGTGCTTGACCCTGCCATGCAAAGCACCTTCCTCAAGAAAGGTGAGGAGCACAGTTCTGGCATTTTTCCTGGACCGCAAAAACAGCTCTCTGCTTTCATGATGCCACGAGAAAGCACCAAAACTTTGGACAGAAGCCGAAATACCCTTCTGTCACTCAGCTCTCCCTACTGAGTATTAGCATCACCTCCTGCTCCCACTGGGGGACAACCAGTAAGAAGCAGAAATGTCAACCCCAGCCGGCTGCCTGTGTATTTTCAATAAACATTTTGGAGGGTGCTTTTCCTCTGACCGTAATCCCAGAGGCTGATGTACTACTTCCCTCTAGTGGTTCCACAAAGTCCAGGGCTGCCTCTTTGCTGCGTACGGGTCTGAACTTGTTTGCAGGGCTAGAGCTGCTCGTCTTTCTGTTCTGAAACGGGTCTGCAGAAGTGCTGAGCCAGCAATACCATCCCACACAGCAATACCAGGTCATTCAACAAAGCTATTGTTAATTAACTCTGGCTTTTCAAAGGAGTTCAGTGTTAATTAACAGGTGAAACAGCTCTGGACATTGTCACCACAATGGAAAGACACAGAGCCTACAAAGAGCTAGTTTGCCCCTAGGGAACGTTCCCCTCACCTTGACCAGCGAATGAATCCTCAGCCCTGACTCTTGGATGAGACTGTAACGCTTTTCCAGGCGGTCCTGACAGTCCTCTAGGCTCAACAGTGATTCCTTTTTGCCATCTTTTCTCTCAAATACAGGTGACACCCATGATCTTATGATGGTCTGAATCTCCTCAACATTGTCTTTGGCTTTCTGCATCCTCTGCTCGAGGCTGTGGACATCATCCATCACCACAGAGATCCGATTCCAGACACCTGTCAACAAACAAGATGATTGACTACACACTTTCAGATGAGCTGGGCCAATCTTCCGTGCACCTTCAGGATGAGCCTCTCACTTCTGCTTTCGTTTCATGTATTTCTTGCCCATAACTAACGCAAAAGACTTATGTCCACTGACAGTGCAGCTTCCTGTCCTGAGCCACTTTTAGCTTCTTCCTACCCCAACAAGCCATAGTATGGACAGCCACAGGCTCTGCTTTCCCCAACACCAGCTCTGGGGGCACATTCAGACCAGGCTGTTGATTCCTGCTCCCCTCTATTCAGGCTCCATCTGCCTCTTTCTACTACAGGAGAGGACACAACAGGGGAGATGAACACAGCAGTCTGGGCACCCCTGTCCCAGTTGCTAGAATGGGAACCTGAACACACAGTCTTAATGCCTGGGCTGCATCTGTGCCAGGCACAAATGAGGACTGCACTTAGATTCAGGGAACCTGGGACTTTGCTGCAAGAAAATCATTTCTATTATGCAATGCAGTCATCTGAACTCAGCCCTGGGATTTTTTCTTTGCAAATCCCCAAGAGGCAACTTTTGTTCCTGTACTGCTGCAAGACTGATGATAGAAACATATATGCAACTGGTGAGCAGTCTGCTTTTACCAAGAGGAAACAAACTGTCTTTGCTCTGCTTTGCAATTGAAAATGATGAAGCAAAAACACTACTCAAAGTCAAGGTGCATAAAACCCACTCCCATTGTCGTATTTCATTCTCTGATAAAGATCTGATCTCTGATAAAGATAAGGCCAGAGATTCCCACTCCCAACACAACTGGACAAGCAAGCAGTGGCCTTGGGGACACGGGCAAGGGGTGGCAACACAGGCAGCCTGCAGAAGCCACGAGCAGTGGCTTCAAACCCTAGCCTTGCTGGCTCTTGCAAAACCAACTCTCAACAGCTGCACTGCTTGCAAGGCCAACCTCTCCTCCCCTACAAATCCAGGCTTAACCTGGAGGGAGCAGGACTCCTGTCCACTATTCCAGCAGAGGAAGGGAATGGGAAAGAAGCAGGAAGGCTTGGGGTTGCCATTCACCTTCCTGGTATTGGTTCTGCTGGCAAGTTACCTGCCCATCTGGGAAGCATCTGTCCACCTGGGAATGAGGCAATGAAAGTTTGGTACCCAGGGGCATTTGACAAGACCTACGTGAACGTCTGTCTGGCACGTGTCTGGCACCCTAACACAATATTAACTCACCCTCCATCTGCCAGTTCAGCGTTTCTTCTGCTTCTTTCAGCTTCAAGTCAATATCCAGCAGCTGCCTCTGTATTAGAGGATATTCAACCTCCAGGACTGTCTTCAGGATCTTGTTGTATCTGTTCACCATCAGCTCCAAGTTTGCCACCATCTGCCGGTACAATTCCTTGGAGGAATAGATTTCTGCTGCTGTTGGTGGGATGCTTCCCATCTGCCTGCTGGACAGGTAACTCACTTCTCTCAGCACTGAAACCAGCTGCAGAAACACAGCAGAGAGCTGAATATGGGACAAATCATCCCCTTTTATCTGACAGACACTCCGACCAATTCTGAATGTTTTATGGTTTTCAAGAGCAATAACTTTCTGCTGCTTTATTCAAAGCAACATGCTCTGAAAAAAGAAAAAATCTCCAAGTCTACAGTGCCTTTTGTTGATCTCTGCCTCTGGTTTTCTTTCTGATTAAAGACAGTTTGCATGTGGACTCTGGCCCTTTCAACCATCATCACCAGCAAAAATGAAAGTCTATCACAGATACGGAGCAATCATGGAGCCTGCAGAGATGCTGACAAGGAGAGCTTTGTGAACAGTTTTCTACAGAAAGATAGGATAGATCAGAGTCCAGTTTGGTTGATTTGCTGCTGTTGATTGGTATTAAAAAAATATGGCCCCAACTTGAGAGAAGACTCGAATCCTCCTGCTTCAGCAAATCCAGCTTCTGTTTGATATTGCTCCCAGCCCAAACAAAGCCACTCACAACAAGTGCACATCTGAGTCATGAGACTGGATTTGAACAGGTTATTAAATTATAAAACTAGTATAACTTGGTTCCTGCAACAAAGGGGAATAGTGAGCCCTTTCGATATGATATACAGCCTCTGAGACTAAAAGCATTTGCTCAGTTTAATGGCTAGTAATTTAAAGTGCTCCTGGAACTGCACATGTTCATAGATTGATAAAAATGTGGTACAATGTGTGGGAAAGAGCAGGGGTGAATACCACCTCAGGCTGCAGCTGAGTGTGGGATGCAGGTCAATGAAAATCCACTTTCTTTCAGGTTGGCAGATTTTATCAGTTCTTCCTGTGAAGATCTGGGTAAGAAAGCACTGTGATCCTGTCCCTTTCATGCACTTTGATCCTTTTTCCCAGCTCCTACTTTGCCTAAGAAACTGGGGAAGCTGCAAGCATGAAAACTGGGTGAAACAGTATACGCATGGAGTGAATGACCAGACCCCAGGGACAGACAGGTGCTTTTGAAACTGAACTGCACTGCCTGATGCTAGCCAAAATTTAACACCCAAGAGAACGGGCTGAGATCTGCAGAAAACACAATTCCTTTGAAAGGAAGGAGAGGAACCACTGGGAAGTGAATGAAGGGGGATGGGTAGGAGAGGAGAAGCCGCTAGTGGACTGAGGGAGCAAGAGGGCGAATGAGGTAAATATAGGTCTTCAGTACGCCTTCAGGAAGCCTACATTCAGGTACATGTAATGGGAAAGCTAATTGTCAGGAGAGTTTACCTGGGGATCAAAGTTGACTGCTATGAGTTTGGTCTCTGGATCTCGTCGGATGAGTGGCTGAGTGAGGTTGTACTGTGATTTTTCAGAGACTGTCTGGGACCAGTCCTCATAGAGCTTTTCCTGATACCTACCACCAAAAAAACAAGCATCCACCATGCATCAACTGAGCCAGCAGACACGTGTGTGTAATAAATGAAAAATCAAGCCCATTTCTGAGAGCTGAGGAACACGAAAGAATATCAAAAACGTGTTCATGCCTTTTCCACAGATAACACAACTCCAGACAAACATCCAAAAAACAGAGACAGCATCAAGTCAGGAATGCAAAGATCATTCAGGTACCATTTGTAGCAGAGGATTGATTTAGAAACAGGCTTGCAAAAATATTTGTCCTAAAGCAGTAGATAAGCTCTCTAGTGTGGATTTCTGAAGTGTCTAAGCAGGTCAGGCCCCTAAACACATACAAGTCACAGGGATATAGCTGAGGCTAGAAGTGCAGATGCCCTCAGTGCTCTTAGAGTCAGTGCAGAGGGACAATTCAGCTCTGGGATGACTCAGTCACACTGTTGGGGACTAAAATTCAGAGGACTGAACTCATGTTGAGATCTCAAAGGTTGAGGACAGTTAGGGGTCCCTTCCACCCAAATGACAAAATCACTTCTGAATCATTATGGCATCCGAGCACTTTGGAAATATTATCTAGAAAAAACACCTATGCTGGAATCCTTGCACCTCTGCTGCAACCTCACATTTGCTAGGTCAGTGCTAGAGCAATATTTTTCACACTCCACATGAAATCAACCCTTGCTGTAATACCTTCCACTGTTGTTATGTTCCTGACAATAATCCCTTTTAAAAAATCTACATCATAATTACTCAGCCTTTTTTTGATAATTAAGAGCAGAACTTTCTGTGCCTGCTCTGTGATATCTAGGAGTCAAGTAGATGCATCAGTTCCCTTCGCTGCCCATGGAGAACAGGCACATGTAGATACTTCCTCCCTGAGGATGTGTCCATTTCCCAAGGGTAACAAGGAAGTCAGGGCAACCGGTTCAGATTTAACATCAAACTTTAAGATACTCAGTCAGGGAAAAGCAAACACCACTTCAAACCATGGAAAATGTGCATTACAGCCACTGGAAACACACTTTGTGAAGGAGCACAAGCAGGCTGGGAGGCCGGGCACAGAGGCAGGTCAGTGCTAGAGCAATGTTTTTCACACTCCACATGAAATCAACCCACGTTTTGCCATATTATAGGCTACGAGTGTACATGACAGCTTCTATACCCAGCAGAAATTTCTGTTGAAGTTTTTCCTAGGCTGTATGGCACCCATTCATTCCACTGCGACATATGGCAAAAGGATTGCTACTCGTCCCTCAGGAAAGTCCTTCTAGCCTAGAAAAGAGACACTCCTAGGCCTTGGACTGGTAAATGTGCTGGAAGATTTAGTAGAAGAGAACATTCTTTTACACAGTCTTGCCTGAGGCACTTACCTTTTGAGCAACTGGAGCATTTCTTCATACTTCTCCACCACTCTTCTTCCTTCATCAGAGTCCAGGCAGCTGGTAGCACAGCAGACAAGTTCAGCATTAGGTAGTCCATGGAAATGGGAGTTCAGGTCTGTGGGTTGTCTTTATCCTTTCCCAAGATCACCCCCCATAGGAGAGATTAACTGTCTCAAGACCTTGCACTTCACTTACCTCTGTCATTGCACTGGAAAACATTTCACTGTACAGAGTCTATTGGGTTTAACTAGCTTTTCTCATGTGTTCATACAGCAACCTGCAAATAGGAACTAAATACTGGGGGGAAGAGGGAGTCATGCTAGTGCAGGAATATTGACCTCTAGCAGGCCTAATGCTGTGAGTTGCACATTATTTTTGCACAGAATATGGCAATCTCTATTTGCCCAACCGTACTTCCTAAGTTCAAGAAATGTTCAAAAGGAAGCAGCATGTGGTGCTGGATTCATGCCCCTCAAACTGTAGGAGTAGGGAAGAACAAAGACCTCCCACATTCCAAGAACAAGAGGCCCAGACATGCAGTCCTGTACAACTGGGTCTGCACCCAGAGAGCCAGTTAGCCACAAGGGCAATTTTTCTCTAATTTCTTCTACAGTTTCCCAGATTTTCCCCAAAATAGTTCCTGATTTTGTAAGATATTTTGATGGAACCCTTCACTAACACAAACAAAGCCTAGCAAATTCCCAGTTGATGTAAAGGATCCTTTGCATCAACTAAAAACTGAACTGAAAGCACAGGGAATGCTTGCACAATCACCACTGAGCAACATGGTTGGTTTAGAAGAAGTTCTGATCAAAGTCTCTGGAAATAAATAGGTTTTTATACCATCCCCAACAGAAACACCTTCTTTTTCCGTTTTTAATCCTCTTCCCCTTTCAAGTCGCACGTAGGAAACATCATCACGTCACCACTGCTGCTGGGCAGGTTATTAACTGCTCTAAGCAGAGGGAAGAAAATCAATGCGAAATGCAGATCTAGGTCCTTCATGGTTTAAAAAATTTGCTATTCAAATTCAAACAGGACACGATACCTTGGGCTCTCTTTTGGGGACAATCCAAGGGCTTCTCTCATTGCACAGATGTCAATATTGCTGCCGAATAACAGCATATCCAAAGACATTTACATAACAATAATACACAGTGCGGGAGGACTAGAACTATTGCACAGCAGTGGAGATGGCTCATTTCGGCAGACATCAAAAATATGAGGATCTATTTATTGGCAATCCCCTTGGGCACAATTAAAGCTATTTCTGCAAGCTACAAGGTGCGGTCCCTGGACTGCCTTCAGCTATCCCACTAACTACAACATTGCTTTGCTGGAAGGGCTTTTACAGGCTGTCTCATGAACGCTAAAAGCCCATTTGTGGCACCACCAAATGGGGAAGCTGCAAATACCTGGCTGTACCTCTCTCATATGACCCACAATAACAAACACTCAGGTGATAAAAGTTCCCCAGAACTTTTTGCTTTCCCTGCTCTTTGCAGATCGCTCCTTTGCTTGCTGCTCAGGTACCAGCCAAGGCCAGATCTATTCAAAGACTTGGAAACCCGCTCACCTCCCTTGTTCCACCTTAGACAAGTCCAATCCCGCAGGTCTGAGCCCTTCAGAGCTTGAATGATGCTGGAATCAGGGCTTATAGCCCTGCTGCTTCCAGGGAGGTCCTGGACCACACACTAAATGGTGTTAGAGTGGGAAAAGGTACAGAATCTCTTTCAGTCACAAGCTAAGGCTACATCTGAAAACTGAATAGATCACATTCTATCCTGTTGTCTTTCTTAACTACTTTAAAACAAATGCAATTAATGAGTTTCTTAAAAAAAAAAAAAATACATGGAAGCTAAAAAGTGCAAATGCAATCACTTCAATCACTTCACAGCTCTTTCACTGAGAGCTACTTTGCATGTAACCACTGGATAATGCTCAGCACAGAAGGAAGATCAGATTGATCAGTAAAAAGATATCAACGGGGTCATAAAGCAAACTTAGCTGTGGACACGCACAGGTGTGTGATGTGCCTGAAGTGCCCGAACGGCACCTGGATCCGCGCTCGCAGCTCCTGAGCCCAGCCCAGCGCTCCAGCTACCAGGGGCATGTTCCTGTGCACAGGGGGGGCTCCTGTGGACATGGAAACAGCATTTGAGGCATTTGACAAAACACTGCACATCCAGCCCCAAGAGACACCGAGTTATCTGCAAAGAACTGTGGTGATTTCCCAGCTCCCTTTGTGCAACCAGGCACGTGCTGTACTGATAGAGGTCGGCCACCAGGGCAAGGTTCCTAGTGCCTTTGGGCCTGAGAACGGAGACAAGATTCAGCTTGAAGGAGAAGCACCGTGCGTGTTAGAAATGGAGCTGTTCCAGAGGCATAGGATACACCCCCTGCTTCCCACAAACAGTTTAAGGGACTTCTGGATCAGAAGCTTGTTCAGATCATCTTGCATCACACCCACATAATAAACTCATCTCAGATTCATAGTCAATGAGAGACTCCTCTTCCATGAATCTCTCCATTCCCTTTTTTAACTTGTACTGGTTCTACCACTGCTGCCTCTTCTGGACCTTTTCCAATTTCAGTACAGTCTGAGGTGGGTGACCAGGCTACTGTTCAAAAACATTCTCCTCATCATCATATGGGAAGAGTCCACCCATTACCTCCTTCCTGTGCCAGTGTTCATAGGAAATCACAAGCCTGGAAAAGGAAAACCTTCACTACAACCTCCTGCTAGCACATTTGGTATTTACATCGTTACAAAGGAAACTCTAGCAATTCATATTTGGGAACACATGAGTGGCTTTGCAGGTCCCATAGGTTATTAGAGGCAGCATGCAAATGCGAAGAAAAACCTTCCTTCCCAGTTTTGCTGGGGGTAAAACTCAGCATGTATCTTCATTCCCCGCCACTTGACATGCAGACACATAAAAAAAGCACTTTTTCTCCCAACAGATTATTTGTTCTACTATTAAGAACAGAGAGTTTTCTCAGTCATTACCATTTCCACTAGGATCTGACAGTGGCTAAAAAGCTTTGCAAATTGGGAGGTTTGGGATTCTCATGAAAAAGCAAATCATGTTGCCAAAAATTCAACTAACTTCTATTTTCTCTAAAATCATTTTCTCATAAAGTGCTTCCTACCCAACTCCAGCTCTGCCTGGATATGCCTGGAGTAGATCAATCCAGCATCATCTAAGGCCCTGTCGAACATGCTGATGAGTTCAGGATATTTGTCAGCAGCATCTGCAGCTATTACTGGTCGCTCCAAAAGGCTTCCAAACATGTCCAGCAACTGAGGTGACCAAGCAGGAAAAGAAAGAAAGAAAAAAAATAAAATAAGATCACAACCCCAATTTCCACCAAGAAACCCATCTCACTAGAATTTTTCTCACTAACTCAGAGGTTTCGATACTATCTGCAATGAGGATCAGTTTGGAATGCGGATACCTCTTTTCTTTACTCTATTTTTTTTAAGCCTTGCTCTTTAACACAGAGTTTCTCAGACTTTCTCTGGGAGGAGAACCATATCCCTATAGCCATTTTTGAAATATCTCACAATTTTTTATTACAAAAAAGTAATAAAGATAATTGCTGTCATTCTCTAGTCTCCTCTACAAACACTTTCGTTGAGAATTTTATTCTGAAAAGATGCTAAAAATTTCTTAATTTTTCCCCAAACTAGATTTACTAGTAAACAAAATGGCCTTATTTATAGAGAAACCTGAGTTTCGAAAATTTAACCATGTCCATTTGGCATTAACAGTAACGCCTGATTTTTTTTTTTTTTTTTTTTTTTTAACATCATTTCTCACCAGCAAGTCCTAGGAAAAATGGTAATTTTTTCCAATTCACAAACAAATGAAACTCCTTGTAACTCAAAGCATTATTTGGGATATTTCCTCAATTACTTTATTTATTTTAAAAGTTGAACAAGGGTCCATTTTGTACCTTAACAGTGAGAGCAGAAATACTCCCTATGCTTTCAGCAAACATCCTGCTGCCAGCTCAGTGGCTTGAGAGTGCATGAGGGCCCATGGGCCCATATATCACTGACCAAGAGCAGTCTAAACGCTACAGCTCTCACTGACCTGGCCATCCCACTCAGCAAACACCCCCAGTTCACAAGCAGCCAGTGTGCCTGTTGCTACACCACCAGGCTGGACCTGCTCGATACGGTCATCACAGAGCAAAGCAGTCAGCACTCTGATTTTCCTTTTGCAAAAGGGAAGAGATAGATACAAATCAATAGATACAAACCTTGAAGGCATGCTCCAAGTCTGAGGCATCATCAAAAGCCTGGGTGAAGATAGTTGCCAGCCTTCGGTCCATATCTTCTACTTTCTTCTGGAAGTCAAAGGCATCTTGCTCAAACTCCTACGGAGAGGCAAAACAGTGAGACGTGAGGCTGCAGAACATAACCACTGGTGTCCTCTTCATCCGCAGATTCCTTCTGTTCTCGATTGTGAAGGAGAAGAAACTTCCATGGCCACTCTTTAGCTACCACAATGTGATACAGGCCTATTGCTTTCCTGCCGGGCTGTTCCCTTTGGTCCCATGGGTTTTGCTCAGCATGAAGAGTACTGACTTCGGCCTCAAGGTAGGCTGGATTATGCTTTTTCCAGCATGGTCTGAACACTACAGGCATCGTCCAGAAATCCCACAGGTGCTCCTTCTGAACTACAAACACAACCTGCTTTCAAGCCAAACGAGGTCATTGTAAGTAATCAGGAAATGACAAGGCAACTTCCACTGTCTTCTGGCACTGTTGTTCTTGCCTCTATTGCTCTAATTTCTTTGAAGTTTAAGGAAAAAAAAATCTAAGTTATCTAAGTTATTTTTTTCTAAAAAACATGAGACAAAGACAAGGGAGACAAACCCCTTCAGAATTACAATTACCACCCTTCCTTCACAGTCTTCTCAGGCTAAACAGCTCAGAGTCAAAACCCAGATTAGGATTTTCCATAAAGCCAGGGGCTCATTGACTATGCTCTGCATGGCACATGCTGGTTTGAGCATCAGGGACCTGGACAGCCACTGAGCTATGAATGGAGGACTGGAAATATTCCTTTAATAATAAAAATAACATTTAAAAATCAGAGTCCCTGAATGCTGGGAGCACCAGATGTCATATGTGCAACTAGGCAAGAGCAAACACAGCCCCTGGAGATTACTTGAATCAGCTGTCATCAGGCAACCTAGGCACTCACAGCAGGAAAATGAGGAGAACAGATGTTGGTAGAGCTCTCACACACAAGCAAGCATCATGCGTAGTGAAAGCCTGGGCAAAAGGCATGGAAATCCAAGTTTCCCAGATGTACTGTTCTAGGATTCTGAACTACCAAGACAAATGATAGATATGGATCTGCAACAACTCCTAAATCTCTGCCAGAAAGACCAACAGCTCCCTTTCCCCTAAAGGGACAGATCAGATCATAGCAAAGGAGGGAGGGACTAGCAAAAAAAAGAAAAAGCAAAATAAAAATAACAATAAAAAGATAGCAGGACAGCAAGTGAGCTGGGAATCTCTGCTCTGAAAACATGCACATGACGTTGGCATTTCTGCAGAGCAGTCCCACCTACCGTATTGGTCAGGTCAAGACAGTCATAGGTTCGTTCCACAAACACGTTGTACGCCTCCTGGAATTCCTCATACATGCTTAGGACCTGCTGGCTCAGGGCTTTTCCTTTAATCCCACTGAACTCAATCTTCTCCAGTTTCATCAGGTCCAAGGCAGTAGCGAGCAGATCCTTCAAAGTCCATTGAGAAATACATAAGTCAAGATGTTGACCAAAGAAGATGACAACAGTAGTCACAACGTGAAGCTGGCCGTTTGCTGCTGTGATGGGCACTGACGTGCAGAAGGACCTCCCCAGGCTCAAGGAAAACTACAGCAGAGCCGAATGGCACAAGCAGGAAGAGCAGAGCAAGATCCTGCCTGTCATGGGCTCCCTCATAACTCAAAGAACAACCCCAAAAGCAGAACAAAGCAGATATGGAGTTTTACAGCAAAACAGGGTGTGTTTTGTGAGTGTCAGTGCCTCTAGTATAGGGAAAGGGAGGCTGGTTCTTTGTTTAAAAAACTCAGGACTGCCCCTGCTCGGATTTGCAGATGCTCTTCTGAGGCATCCAACCTTCAGTGCTGCCCTGAAAGGCTCCAGACACGTGTGAAGATGCAGGGCACTACCAGGTCCCACCAAGGACAGCCTCACCAGAAACAGCCATTAAGCCAACTGAACAACCACTTGCAAGTGCTCTGGCAGCTAAACGATTGCTGCTCTGAGAACTCTCCCACATTTCTGTGAGTATATGGTGCTATCAGGGAGCTGACGCAGCCAAACAGCAGATTTATAGCAGACGTGGAACTTGAAATAGTGAGATAAAGTGAGGGAAAGATACTCTGCTCTCTCTCCATGTTTATGGGCTAGCTGTGCACATGCATAAGCAGGGCCTTGGCGCAATTTCTTTTCAAAATGAAAACAAATGTGCATATACTATTTTGAAAGAAAACATTCATTTTAACAAATACTTGGTAAGGTAAAAGTAACAATGCAGAGATAACAGTTACCCCTTTCTCCTGGAAAGAAGAAGGGGGTGGAAAAAAGACAGAGAAGGGCAGACGTTTTCCTCATTAAAAGGCTGGCATGTGCTATGCTATTAGTTATTATTTACAGCTCATTCCACAACCCCCTCCAGGCTTTCACTCTGAATGCACAAACTGCAGCCTTCCCGTGTGTCTGAAGGTGTGGGATAGTCATGGGAGCAGGATGTGCATATTGACAAAAAGCATATTATTTGCAGCTCCGTGCCTGGCTATTTATTTATTTATTATTATTCATAATATCTAAGCAATGAGCAGTCAGCCCCAGAGTTTTTGCAGTTACAGTGGCATTACAGTTACAAGTGCATTATTACTTTGCCCCTCATTTTTCTCATGATGACCTGCAGTTACTTGTGTGTCTATTTATATTCCTATCTGCACTGGGCAGCATAATTCGGTTTACTGCACACCAGTGCTTATTGGAAACCATTCCTCTGAATAGCTTTAAAACAGACATCAGTCATGATGGTTTTCTACACAGCTAATTAAATACTGCATAAAAATATTCAGTGTGCTTCAACCGGTAAAAATTTCTGTTCCACAGCCCAGTAGAAGAGAGGGAGCAAAACAGCTTGGATGTTCTTTGAAACAGGCAAGAGCCAAGAGGATATATGCTCATTATCTTGTGATCTGACAGGCCAGGAACATGTCAATAAAAGAAAGAAATCCACTTGGTGTGGATGAATTAGAGCATTAACTGTGTAACAGAAAACAGATATAAACACGCTTATAAGGCTTGTTCCACACTTTTTGCCTCTAGACACAGGGACATACATAGTGTAAGGCGAACATGGAGAACATAGATGCATGTGGGCTGACCAATGCACTTCAGACCTGCTCTCTCCAGACCTACATCACATCCTATTTAAGAAGGATCAGTCACCAGAGCCAGGAGTCTGGTGAGCACGATGCAACCCAGAGCTAGACCTTGGTGAACAGGGACATCCCTGAGCCACAATATCCAAGTTGGACAGAGCACAAGGAAGTGAAAGGGTGGATCGACAGGTTCCTTCTCAGGTCCACATGGAGTAGCCAAGCTGTGTCCTGCCTCAAGGACAGACGTTCTCCAGGGCAGGTTTGTCCAAAGCACACAGAACACCTCTCAGGGGGCAGCAGGAAACCTATCAGCAAAGAAAAAGGCCAGATCCTGCAGCTTTGGTCAAACATTCAGGACGGGGATATGCAAGCAAGTGAGCTGTGGGTGCAGAGCCCTCTCGAAGGTTTGCAGTGACTAAATTCTCACCTTTACCATCTGCAGTCTGCCAAGGAAGCTGTCCAACCTTGCAAAAACCATGGCAGAGTAGAAATCCCATTCCTTCACTTCTTGGCCTGGTTTATAGTATGTGTGAAGAGTTTCCCTTCTCTCTTGAAATGCCTCTTTGAACTCATTCAGGATGTCAAGCACCAGTTGCACTTTGCCCAAGCTTTCTTCCATATCCCCTTTCAGAAGGTCTTCTGGGCTCAGGTACACCAGGGCCTGGAGCAGCAAAATCAGACCTAAGGCACCTCTATCATCACACAAAACAAAGGCTTTTCATGCTGGACATCTTTTAACCTGCTTGTCACCCCTTCAAACCACTTCAAATCAAATTCACTACCACTTTGCTGGGGAAGGACTGGACAAGCAGGAGAAAAGGAGGTTCTTTCATGGAGCTTTTGTGGACAAATATAGACCACACTGGAACACACCTGCTGAATAAGAAGGTTGCAGATTTCCTGGAGCAGCACTATTATCCGCTCAGGTATGTTGTAGTGCATGGAGGTGACCCAGATTAAACACACCACGTGGAGCAGAGGAACCAGGAAAGGCTTCACCTCACTGAACTCAACACTCTCTATGTTTGCCAAGTACCGCTGGAGAGGCATCAGGTGCAGGTTAATGTCCTCAGCTTCAGCCAAAGCTGTGTTAAAAATAAATAAATAAATAAAAGGTAAATTGGTTAAGATCCACTGAGCTGTGATTTGCCAGGTTATTGCCAGGGCTGTGGCCTCAGCCTTGCCTGACAGAAGAGTGTGTTGCAAGGCAAACAGTCCTGACGAGTATAAAAGCATAATCAAATACTTGTAAGGTGATAAAATACCTTCAAGGTTATGCATGAGGGCGGGAAACAAACTGACAGAATGGCTAAGGAAAGGGCAACAAGTTTCTAGGCGCTGACCAGGAGAAGTAGCAGGGAAAACCGAGCCTAGTTCTCAAAACAAAAACAAGAAAGAACAGCTTTGTGAGAGGAGCAGGAGAGATCTGTGAATGCCCAGAGCTGGGACAGGGATCTGCAGAGCCCAGAATTGCTGAACAGTGCTGAGATGTGCCCTGCAGCAGAGTGAATACAGCTCTGTCACCGCTACTAGCAGACTACAGGCCTTGGACTAACTTAGCAAGAGAGGCTTAGGGACCTGTCAGGGTTTGTGCAACTTGTCTTGGCCTGAGCTTATTTTAGCTTGGTTTTAGCTAAACCAGCCCATTGCCCAAAGCACAGATGATAATGGTATCGTTTGTCCTGGCTTTAACAGCACAGCTGCCCAATGTAAGGTGATTTATGTCCGATTAGTATAAAGCTGTACTTTAGTTTTGTGCAGCTGTGTGGTTTTACCCTGAAGAAATTGCATTGCCTATTGCAAATAAAAAAGATATTACTTTTAATAGAGGAGCATTTTTAAGGTAGAGTTTTGCTTTGCCAAAAGGCAAAATACTAAAAAAAAAAGAAAAAAAAAAAAAAACCTTTCTTATAACTTTCCTTTTTAGTGAGGAAAAAAAAAAGAAAGAAATTCTAACTCTCAATATGTGGGGAGATGATTCTTTAACTTTTCTGTGTAGATGAACTCTCTCATTGAATCACAGCAGAATGATAAAATAGGCAGAGAGGAGAGCAGGTCTGTTGATCCATGCTACCCTCTAGAGGACGTTCACTGCACGTGGATTTCTGCAAAATCTCTTGCAAAAAGTGGCAACACGATCATGATCTAGACAGATCTCTCAGCCCCCAGAGGACGATACTGCATGGGGCTGTGGACAGACAGCCAGTTAAATGAAATTGCTCTCAGGTGAGTTAAATACTTTCTGGATATAGCATAAAACTGAGAGCATCAATCGAGTACAAGGAATTCAGCTGCATACAACGAATCAGAGAGGGGGCCAGCGATGCACTTACAGTCTCCTTTCTGTCCCAGGGGTCACAGAGAACTCCTAATGACCAGTCACACTTAGCTTGAAACCCAGAAAAAAAACACAGGGGATGGAGTAGGGGAAGGCCATAAGTCGGCACATCCTATATAGATGTGGTGAAACTGCCCCAGCATCTCACCTTCCTCGACATCCGTGAGGAGTTCCTTGAAGGCCAGGAAGTAGCAGCTCTCGATTCTCTCCAGCACTTTTGCCATATTCCTGACCCTCTTCGTTCTCAGCTGACTGTAAATGCGCTCCAGGTCATCATACCTACAGCAACCACAGCAAGTTACAAACCTGCATGGGAGAGCAGCAGCTGTCCAAACACACTATCCCACCCTGCTGGGGCTGAACCAGGATTTCCCAGCACAGCCAGGGTGGGACACCCCAAATCTGCTGGCCCTGGGGCCTTCCCAGGTCTGTGGGAGACCATTCAGCTACCCAAATGTCTTTTGTATCTCCTTTCTTTTTTCTCTTTTTTCTTTTTATTTTTGGCCTAGGATCCACACCAGTCACACACAGCCTGAGCCCCAGCAGTGAATGTGAATGGAAGGAAGGACCTCCAGGAGCCACAGAATGGCAACAGATACCGCTGGCCTTGAGGTTCACCACAACAGCAGCTCTACCTCCATCAGGACACTGCTAAGAGGAGCCACTGAGTATTTCTGTGGGCACTGTCAGCTCTCCAGTGCACAGGGCATGGCCCTGGGTCCGTCCTTACTAACAGAGCACAAAGATTTCCAAAGGGAAGGAAAGAATTGCACCCCATGGCCATTGGCCAGCTAAACATGTTTGGGTGTTGACAGATGAATGCTGGCCTACCTAGGCATGGTGTTTGCAGAAGATCCTATGAATAGATGTCACATGGGCAGTACCTGATCTAGGCCAGAGGACGGATTCCCACTCATTAGAAAGCGGAATGTGTTCTGGCCTTCAAAAAGAAGCTACTCGGGCAGAGAAGAAAAGGCCCAGGAGAGGTTTTATCAGCTCTTACTCGCCTTGTTGCTTCCTAGCGAACTATATGTACAGGAGACGCAGCCCCTGGATTGAGGCTAAGTTAAAATACAGCCAGCTGCACAGTGATCTCCGAGACACTTTGCAGATCATTATTTTATACACACGAACAATTTTCTTTAGCTCAACTCTTTAGATATGCCTCAGGCAGCTTGATCTTTTCAGCTTGCAGAAATAGTTCTGCCTGCCACCAGCACTTTCCTTCCACTCAAAACCAGGGTCAATCAAAACCAAGTTCCAGCTGGGCTTCCCAGCACTACCTGTTTCTCCAGAACTCGAGTTCCACCTTTGGGTTGGGGTTGCTGCCTTTCAGGAGAGGCTCCGAGGACTCTCTCCTCAGCACTTCTTGGACCTGGTTGCTCCAGTCAATAATAGCTGACTCAGCAGCATAAATGATAGAATTATCTATCAGCTCCAGACTGAAGAAAAAAATAATATACAGTTAACTCTGTTTTCCACTTGTTGGTGTTTATTACTCAGGCTGTATCTTCTCCAAATGACCACATAGGCAACTAGTTGTTATAGATCACAATCTAGCTTTACATTTCAAAGTCACAAAGTCATAAAAAAAAAAAAAAGCACACACATAATTTTGCTGCTGTTTTGATACAGGAATTACATCCATCTTATACTGTTGTGCAGTCTCCAAAGACAGAACCTATAAAGTAGATAGCAGGTAGAGCAAAACGCGCCAGTTGGAGCGAGAAGCAGATGACAGTAAGCAAGAAAAGTGAGCATGATTTGTGTAAAGCTCCCCCCAAGACGTACTCATGTAAGTAGGAGATAACCCAAATAAAATCAAAGGATGGTACTCACGATTTCTCATTTTCCAGATCAATGTGCTCAAATCTTTCTGAGCCAGCTGGAAGGGGCAGCAAGGTTTTGCCCTTTACTTGTCCATCAACCACAAAAACAGCACTTTTCAGGTTGTGGACATGGCGCAA